TAATCAAAGTCTACAATCTTACAATCTTTACTATTTAATTTTTTTTAATCAATGTAACATAAATAAAAAAACACAAAAGGTGAATATATATCTTACAAATTTTATTTTATCAAAAATTAAACTTTTTAAAAAATTAATTCGTTATTAAGGAGTATTCTTTATCACATATAAGAATTAATCTCCTTTGAAAGTTTGATAAATATCAAATAAATGAACAAACCTTTTAAATTTATATTTTATGCATGTGTGTGGGTGCGTGCGTGTGTGTGCGCGTGCGTGCGTGATTGCGTGTGTGTGGGTGCTTGCGTGCGTGTGTGTGCGTGTGTTTAGGGTTGTCCCTGGGTCCCATAGACATTTTTTCACCTCCAAAATTTACCCTAAAACACCCTTTTCATTAAGAATTGGTAGTGGGGGCATATGCCCCCACTCTCTTGTACATGGGGCTGTCCCTGGGTCCTATAGACATTTTTTCACTTCTAAAATTTACCCTAAAACACCCTTTTCATTAAGAAATTCATCATTTTCTTTCTTCCTTAACATCCTTTGTGATCACTTATTAATTTTTTCAAAAAAAATTTAATAAATTAAAAAAAATTGAAATGCCTTCTTTCAACCAAATTGAAATGGTGAGTGTCCTAATTAATTAGCTTGTCACATTTGACAACGAAATAAAATTAAAATTCTAAAAATAGCAACTACCTATTAATTAAAAACGTGTTTAAGATACTAATGTCTATGAGTCAGACTCACAGTGAGACTACCTATATCAGTGAAAGAACAAAACTAAATTATGACCTTATCTTCCCTGCAAACCATAAATGAATGATGGATCCCTTAATACCTGTTGCTGTATCACTTATGGATTTCTTTTTTCTTCTCATATTATCCAAATCAAGATATAAGAATTTGCCATAAAAAACTAATTTATTTTGTATAACTTATATGAAATTTATAACATGTTTGAATTATATTTTGTAAGCAATATGATTTTGTTCAACGCTTGTAAAACAAAAAATGTTTTTGGTTTAACGGAAAAATTATTAGTATTTGTTTGTTACTTCTTCTCAATTTATGTCTTAAGACTTAAAATATGTCTAGATACAACATAATTATTACGATTTTGTTATGATCAAATTAAGATTATTTTCTCCCGTATTATAAATTTGGTTCTTTATTTTTATATGTTAATGAGATAACCTTTTATTTGTATTTTTCTTCTCATGCAATTACGTATCTTCCTTGTTATGAAACATATGAAAAATTTAATCAATGTTTTTATTTAAATAATTATGTCATTAAAGAAAATTTTAAACTTCTTATTTAATTATTTTAATCAATATTCAAAATATTTCAATTATGTGAGACCTCATTCCTTCCGCAAGCCTCATAAAGTGTTTGAATTTTTTGGCGCGCAAAACCAGCGTTTACAAAATCTACGCCACAAACTGTTTTTGGCAACCGCGGACCTGGCGGTTGATGATGACGCCGGTAATTCGATTTGTGGCGGTTTTTAACCGCTAGAAACTGCAAAAATAACCGCAACAAATCACACATTTTTTTGTAGTGTCTTGATTGTGATTGCTTTGTGTGTGCGTTATCTGACAATTGTTTATGCACTTGAACCTAATAAGTGAGATATTTCTCACTCTCCTATTGTTTGTGTATGTTTGCAATTATGATGCAGGTGATCATCAAGAGGAGGATGTTGGTGATAAAGCTTAAACTTCAATATTGGACGTGCTCTAATAGGACATGTGACATTGAAGTATAGACATGACTAATTTAGGACTTCATTTTATTATTTCGTTTTGGAAAACTTTAGTTTTATTTCCTTTGTAAATTTCATATTTGAATTATGAATTATGCTTATAAATGTAAATCATTTACTTCTATGTTATTTGAGACATTGTTTAACTATGAAAGTTATTATTCACTCAAATATTATTTAATCATTTATTATATATTTATGTTTGGGATAGAGGGTATCACAATGATAGTTACTTATTATAAAATTATAGAAGAGATTATGGGTTGAATAAAATCTATTAATTAATCAAATATTTATTCAATTTTTATACGAGTGCACGGCTTAACTAGCGTTTTTATGACAATTGTATTATTCTGAAAAAAGCAAAAATATATATAATAACAATCGCATGATCCATGTCTGAATTTATTTGCAACATTTTAATTTCATTTTCATTTACAGTTGAAAAAATATTTGCAACATTTTCCATAAATAAAAATAAATTGATAAAAAAAAAAAGAGAGTAAACAAAGTCAACTATGTTTAGTAATATAAAATAAAAAATAAAAATAAAAATTTTGTAAGCAACCGAGAATAATCTCATGCGTCAGCAATGAATGGTTATAAATGCTTGGTGGAATCTAACATTGATAGATGTGGTAGAAGAAAGAATGGGTCTCAAACAATGGAGTTACGAGCAAATGAAAGGAGCGTTCTCTTCTACCTTATATCTATCTCTTTCCTTCTTTATCAGCGTTCTGATATTGTTTAAGCTGATAAGAAGAACCAAATCCAAAACCAAACTGAATCTGCCTCCGTCTCCACCAAAACTACCCATCATAGGCAATCTTCATCAGTTTTGTTAGCCACTATCGTGGTGCTGTAATAACCGCTAGCTGGTGCTGATGTGTGCCTAGTTGAGAGGCCATTATAGCCACTTGAGGTGGTGCTGATGTTGCCGCTAAGCGGTGCTGTTATAACCACTTGAGGTGGTGCTGATGTTGCCGCTAGGCGGTGCTGTTATAACCACTTGAGGTGGTGCTGTTGTTGCTGTTCTACAGTGTTGATGTAGCCACATCGTGGTGCTGGTATTGATGCGTGATATAAGCTGTGCAGATGAGCTGATACTCATAATGATGAAATTTAATTACATTGCTATGTATCTATTTGTATGCTGATTTTTAATTACACTAGCTTACCCTTTCACTGTTTTTCCATGGTGTTTGGACTGCGATGATCATACTGCGTATGGGAGCAGAACAGGAATAGGTGGGCGTCTAGTGGTGAGTCTCCGGTGGACCTTGGAGCTGTTTTGCTTGTGTGGATATTTTGCTGGTACCTACTTGGGATAGTAGCATTTGGTTGTAATTTTCTTTGGTACACTTTAACCCTAGTCAGACTAGAACTTTGTATATTTATATATTCTAGATCCTATATTTATATACTTGTTCTATCTGTCTGGAGTTTCTAGTGTGCGATGCCGTGTGTAGTGACTAGCCGGGTCGTTACAAATTAAGTATGATAAGATATTTGTAAATTAATTATCATAAAAACAATATTTTATTAACTAAATTAATTTTTAAAACTTTGTAAATTAAACGTTAAAGTTATATATTTATATTTAAATTTATACTTGTGCGATGCCGTGTGTAGTGACTAGCCGGGTCGTTACAAATTAAGTATGATAAGATATTTGTAAATTAATTATCATAAAAACAATATTTTATTAACTAAATTAATTTTTAAAACTTTGTAAATTAAACGTTAAAGTTATATATTTATATTTAAATTTATACTTTCCGGTTTCCATTACTAATAAAACAAGTTTTATTTTTTTAGAGAGATAATGCGTGTGTATGTACTAAATTGAAATTTGATGAGTTGCTTAAACTATAATTGAGGTATTCATGAACTAATGGGAAGGTGTTTCCTCATGGAAAGAGAACGTGTCCATTTTGTGCAGTGTAACCTTATTCCCACAAATTTCCAAATTTTATGAAAATTCTATTATTTTTTCAAACAATGGATTTTTTTTTTCTTTGGTTCATTGTCTTTTAATTTATACTTTGATAGTTGGTATATTATGATAGTTATATCGCTCTGAAATATTTAGAATAAATTGTTAATTAAATATCCTGATTAATCAGGTGAAATAAAGGTATTTTGTGTCTTTTTATATTATTTAAAGAATAAATATAAAATAATAATAAACTTTTAATAATAAGAATATTTGAACAATTTTTGAGTACGTAGTTATAATTAATAAGGATAATTTTTTTAAAAATAGTAGAGAAAGAAAGAGTGACATGAGAGGCAATTTCAAGAATAAAATTATAAAAAAAATGCATATACTAAATAAATAATCTGATTATTAATAATATAGATTATTGATTTAATTACAACGCTTGACTAAATGATAATTATTTCCTATAAAAAATAACAGATATTCATAATTTGATTATTTTATGTAAGAATGGTAGTTGACGAGTCAAGTTTCATTTAGTGTCTAATAAAGGTCAATTTAATATAAATAACGAAATATTATATCATTATTGAAAAAAAGTTAAATCCATTTTTAATCTTTATAATTTTTTAAATGTGTAATTTTGGCCTTTTATTTTTATTTTATTATAAATTTGATATTATAATTTTTAAAATTAAACAAAATTAGTTCACAATTAACATATATATATATTTTTTAACTAATGTCCATAAGTGATACTAGTTGTAGTTAATTTAACCACGTACAAAAATAACAATATTAAATTTAAAAATGAAATTATTTGAATAGATAATAAATTATAATTGAAATAGAAAATAATGTTGTTCTTTACAAAGAAGTAAAGATACTAAGTAATTGACATGTAACATTGCTAACGGACATATCAATAATTTTATTTAATCTTGGATGATATATTAATAATAGATCAACATTATTTAATTTTAAAAATTAAAAAATTATAATAAGATATTTTAGAAACGAAAAGTGAATATAAACCTTAAAAAAATAATCATGGTCATTCCATGGAACTAAAAATCCACGAGATAAATTTGACTTTGGAAACCAATTGTAACCAAGTGAACCGACATTTATACACACCCTTGTTGCTTCTATACATGTTTACTATTTGAGAAAGTGAAAATGTAAAAGGACTACAACCGGTATAACAAATAGACTCTAACTCTAATAAGTTTGATTGAAAGAGAAAGAAAAGTAAAGAAGAAGAAGAAGAAAAAAAAAATCAAATTCAAATTGAAGGAAAGGAAAATGATGTCTTTTTATTAACATACACAAATATTTTATTTTATAAAAACTAATAACAAACAATTTTTTTATTGAGGGATCTAAAACTAAAGTTTTAGTAGTTTTAGCCCTTGTATCAAACTTTTTTTTTTTTTTCTTCTTCCAAGCAAAACCTAAGCTTTAACTTGGGGCTGGTAAGTACACTACATGATCAAGTTTGGTAGGAGCATGACTAGGATCACCTAAAACAGCTTCAAAATCCTTCCACTGCCCATTCAAGTGTGCCCTTAAGAAGGCCACAACCAAGCCTCCGACGGTCCTTCTCATGAGGTCCCTAGGACCCCTCCCATTCCTACACAAACACTTGGACAACACTGTCCCAACCACCCCTTCTGTGTCATCGTCCAACATGTCCATGTGACCAAAATCCGAAGCCACAAAATGCGCACGTGGGGGTTTGCACTCATCAAAAAACTCCCTATGGTTCGCCCCTTCAGGAGCACACGGTGGGGCCCAACACTTACCCTTTATTGGGCCCAGCCCAGTTCCGATGACAGCAACGGGCATGTCCAAATTGAAGGATCGAGGCACACGCGTGAGAATACGAGGAAGTGTTTGGCAGTGTTTGGAAAATCCAGCCACAGGGTCTATGCCAATAAGTGCTGAAAATTTGAGGGTGGTTTTGGCGTAACCAAGTGCAACGGCAAAAGCTGTTTTTCCACCCTTGCTATGACCTGATAGAACTAGTTTTTCCAAATTTGCTTCCACGTTCTCAGGAAGCAGAGGTTGAAGCCCCTTCGCCAGCCAATCCACCACTTTTCCTGCCAATTTCACTTCGCAAGGTCCAAACATTGGCAACCCATTGCAAAACTAACCATATGAGAAAGATGAAAACTCTGTTAGAGAAATCCAAGAACTAAAATACCTTTTGTAGATCAAAATTTTTTTTTTTTCCCACAATTTCATACAAATTCATTATATCTCATAGGTTTATAAACGATAACATATATAAAAAGGATAAGTTGATTTAGTGTATAAACAATTTTATCATTAAGTTCTTAAATAATACAAATTAATATTAAAATTAATTATTTTTACAAATATAAAACTCAAACTTGAGATATTAAAATTTTAAAATTTTAATATAATATCAGTTGATTTAATAAATATCAATAATCTTTTAAACATTTTTATTAAATAAAATATAAATTCATAAAATACTCCAACTTTACTAATTAATTGATAAGATATATAAACGTGCGCGATAATTACCAATCTATGAACTTTTTTCTAGAAGAACCAATCTATGAACTAAACCGTATATATAATATATACTTTAGTTATGAAGAACATTGACATCAGAAAAAAAAATTTAATTTATATAAAATAAATGAGTTTTGATTTTGAACTATATAAAAAATTATCTTTATTTTTATATCTCTAAGATTTAAAATCAATATTTTTGAATCTTATGAAATCAACAAATTTTAGTTTTAATCTTAAAAAATTAAATTATTTTTTTCTAAAATTTAAAGTCATTAATTATGGCTCCAAACAATTCTTTTTAAAGTGTCATATATTGACATATATCTTAGACAATTGTAGGTGTTGTTGGAAAAAAATCATTAAACCTTCTAATAATTAAACATATAAGTAATTAATAAAGATACATAACAATAAAAATTTAAAACAATAATGGAAAAAATGAAGAGAAATAAAAAATAAAGAAAATTGTATTATACCAAATTCAAAATCTGAATATTTTATGATAAGAACTAAAAATAATATATTTAAATATAAAATTATTATAAAAATATTGGTAGACAAGCAAATGACATTTTTTATGCAAAAATTAGCCAAGGAATATAGAAAAGACAAGAATCAATATAGAATTAAAAAAAATATAGAGAAGAGTTTCTCATATATAGCATTTCTTTAATTTTCATACAATTTCTGACACCTTGCTTGGAAATTGGTATTCAAGTAATAAGAAACATGGCGCGTTGAAAAATGTTTTGTTTAGTTTTATTAGTAAAGAAAATTGTATAGAAATGATTAATGGTGAGTAAAGAAGAAAAAATAGAGAAAGTGAAGAGTAGATATAGTTACCAGTTGAGGAGCGACAAGTATGAATCCATGTGAAACTATGTGGGCTAGGAGCTCAGAGTAGAAGTTATTGCGAACACAAAAGCCATGGCAGAAGAATATTACAGGGTATGCGCCAGGCAGTGTTGGTGTGAAGATTAGCAATGGTTTTGGAGGTGAAGAGGAATTGGCAATGGATGAATCAACGTTCACTTTCTTCCAATGGATATCTCCCTTTTCAAAAACATCTGTGCTGCCACTGCCCATTACTGCTTCCCTTCTTTGGGCCATCATCAATCTTCTCACACCAAACACTTTGCTTCTAAGAATACTACCATTCAATTAATTACTTCTATTCTAATGCATATATATCTCTTCAATATTGCAGGTGTCCTTGTCAGCTTTTTCTTAAATTGTATTTATACAACTAGTTTGTAATTGTACGTAGTTTAACAATCTTAAATTGTATTTATATAACGAGTTTTTTTTTTATATCACATATAACTTAGAAGTTATAAATAATTGTCTTAACTTTCTAACAAAATTAAGATAAATTTGATAGTATGTATATAATTCTAAATATTGTGCTTGAACCACAATCATAGAAGATTTTGGGTTTAGGATTTTCTTAGTAAACACACCAATTTTGTTGTAATATATTTTCAAAGTATGAGTTTTCAATCCTCAGGGACTTAAAAGATATATTGTAATTTTGATTATCCTAACTAAAACTTGCAAAAGAAAGGAATTTCACCTATCTTTTTCCTATGTTCTCCTAAGATTATTTATATATGAGTTCTATCACTCAATATTATTGAATTCTCTAAACTAAAGTTATTCTATATCAATTTTTTGCCTTTAAAAATTCTAAATATTCTAATTTAATAAATGATTCCTCCGTTTGTCAAATTAGAGTCCTTGCATTAAGTATGAGAATTTGTTCAACTAATAACTCTAAATCTATTCTTAGCATTTAGAATCATTAGAGGATTTGATTCAAAATAGATATTTAAATATTTTTCAACTAAAATCTAAATTAAAGATTAAAATATGATTGATCAGTTCACTTTAAGCATTAAGAATAGAATAAAATCATTAATACTAAATAAAAGGATTACAAAAGAGTTAGACAAAATACCTTCGATCCCAATATAAGAAAGGATTAGCTACTCAACAATCCCAAATCCATGTCCCAAATGACTCTTGAAGTTGTTCTTCTCCTCAACACTGATTTCACTTTGTTCTTCTCTATCTGATGATGATTATCTCTCTCCTCATCTCTTAAATAGGTCTAGGAAATAAAATAGAGTAAGTATGAAAGAGACAAGTTCCAATTTGCTGAGCCCTTGAGGATAAACTACTCTTTGCCTTTCTAGGCCAAATTCGCTCAACTTTTTTGCAAATGACTAAGTGATTTTAAAATATCATACATTAAAGATATTTATTTGAATTTTTTAAAATGATGAAAATTTTATAGGAGATTTATTTTCAAAGTAAAAATTTTTAAAAACTCAAAATGAAGAAATCTCAAATAAAACATGAAATGATATTTGCATATGATGAAAATTGAATTATTTTATTCAAAAATAAATTTAAAACGCAAGAAATTTGAATAGTTTTAGTTGAACAAAAATTTTAAAAGTGTAAAAAACCTTTTTTTATAATAAAATGATAGATAGAGAATGACATTCCGTAGATTATCAAGTAAGAAATCTAATTAATGATATGTTATTCTCGTATCAAACACTTATATCTATTTATTAGTTAATCAAAATTTAATAATATTTACTTTAACCCAAAACTTTACTTATAACTAACTAACTCAACAAAGAAGTGAAAAGAATTTAATTGAAGTAATTAAAAATTTTCATACTACTTTTTAAAAGCATCAAAACACCACATTTCTTTTATTCTCATGTCTGGTCATATACAAAGAAAATTACAACATACAATTTCTCTTATATAAAAGAAGATTAAAAGTTCAAGTATGTGCATCATATGAGATTTTCAGGATAAACTATTATAGAAGTATTTTTAACAAAATAAAATAAAAAAAATAAAAAAATTATATACTAAAACTAACTTATGCATAAATTAAAATAATTTTTTAAAAAAATTATATGATAAAATTTTCACAAATTAACTTATACATAAATTAATTTTAACTTATAAAAAAACTTGCATTATTTCTCCTTTCTAATTTTTTCTCACAAAAGTGATTCTAAATAAATTTATCTAGAATGAGTAAAATGAGTTGTAGACTGAAATTCTCACTAGTATAAAAGAGATAATTTAAATTGGTTATTTTAAGCTTTTTACGTCAGAAAAAAGTTCGACGTTAAAGCAGGAGACGTAAATTTACGTTAGTTGTGAAATCTGACGTAAATTTACGTCGGACATTTTCAAGATCCAACGTAAAAAAGTTGTAAACAAAAAAAAATATATATAACGAGTTCAAGCAGAACGGGTCGTTCTGCTTAATAGAACAATCCAGCAGAAAAGGCCAACAACCTAAACAAATAAAATAACATAAAGACCGAATAGAACAAATAGTCACAATAGCAATGCGAAGCAAAAAGGTGTTAGCAATTCATACCTGAGCTGCAACAATGTGCGAACAAGTAATTAACGAAGAGTTCACCCCGCTCTACAGAAGATAGAAAAAACGATTTAACAACAAAGGAGAGGGAGAGGGTTTATACAGAGAAGAATCTAGAAAAGTGTTTAGATCCGAGTGAGTGTGTGTGTGCGTGTGCTTGCCATGCACTCTTTTATTCGCTTTTGCTATTTTTTATGTCGGACCTGGTAGGGTCCGACGCAAAATGTAAAATCTACGTCGGTTGTATGTTGTGTCCGACGTAGATTGTATATTTTACGTCAGATCCTACCAGACCTGACGTAAAAAAGTTCACAAAAAGTACAAAAATATTACCGCATCTTTTTTACGTCAGTTTTTGTTAAGTTCGATGAGAAAGAAGTGACGTAAAAGCCTTATTTTTCACTAGTGTTTTAATCCGTTATAACCTTTGATTCACACGGACTCACAGAGTTTGCCCAAATGGGTCCCATAGACATTTTTTCACCTCTAAATTTATCCTAAAACACCCTTTCCATTAAGAAATCCATCATTTTCTTTCTTCCTTCTATAACATCCTTTGTGATCACTTATTAATTTCTTCAAAAAAAAATTTAATAACTTAAAAAAAATTGAAATGCCTTCTTTCAACCAATATGAAATGGAGAGTGTCCTAATTAATTAGCTTGTTTGGCAACGAAATAAAATTAAAATTCTAAAAATAGCACCTATTAATTAAAAACGTGTTTAAGATAATAATGCCTATGAGTCAGACTCACGGTGACACTACCTATATCAGTGAAAGAACAAAACTAAATTATGACCTTATCTTCCGGATCCCTGCAAACCATAAATGAATGATGGATCCCTTAATACCATGCCATGTATCACTTATGGATTTCTTTTTTGTTCTCATATTATCCAAATCAAGATATAACTATTTGCCATAAAAAACTAAATTATTTTGTATCTCTTATATGAAATTTATAATATGTTTGAATTATATTTTGTAAGCAATAATATGATTTTGTTTAACTCTAGTAAAAAAAATGTTTTGGTTTAACGGAAAAATTATCAGTATTTGTTTGTTACTTCTTCTCAATTTATATCTTAAGACTTAAAATATGTCTAGATACAACATAATTATTACGATTTTGTTATGATAAAGGATTATTTTCTCCCGTATTATAAATTTGGTTCTTTATTTTTATATATTAATGAGATAACCTTTTATTTGTATTTTTCTTCTAATGCAATTACGTATCTTCCTTGTTATGAAACATATGAAAATTTTAAAAAATATTTTTATTTAATTAATTATGGAATTAAAGAAAATTTTTAATTTTTAATTAATATTCAAAATATTTCAATTAAGTATGATAAGATATTTGTAAATTAATTATCATAAAAGCAATATTTTATTAACTAAATTAATTTTTAAAACTTTGTAAATTAAACGTTAAAGTTATATATTTATATTTAAATTTATACTTTCGATTTCTAATAAAAACAAGTTGTTTTTTTTAGAGAGATAATGCGTGTGTATACTAAATTGAAATTTGAGTTGCTTTAAACTATAATTGAGGCATGCTGTTAAGTGTTAACTATTAATGTGAACTGATGGGAGGGTGTTTCCCCATGGAAAGAGAACGTGTCCATTTTGTGCAGTGTAACCTTATTCCCACATTTCCAAATTTTATGAAAATTCTATTATTTTTTCAAACAAGGGATTTTTTTTTCTTTGCTACATTATCTTTTAATTTAGACTTCGGTAGTTGGTACATTATGATAGTTATATCGCTCCGAAATATTTAGAATAAATTGTTTATTAAATATCCTAATTAATAAGGTGAAATAAAGGTATTTTTGTGTCTTTTATATTATTTAAAAAATAAATATAAAATAATAATAATAAACAGTTAATAATAAGAATATTTGAACAATTTTTGAGTACGTAGTTATAATTTATAAGGATAATTTTTTAAAAACTAGTAGAGAAAGAAAGAGTGATATGAGAGTAGGGATGACAAATAAACCTGTACCCGTGGGTAATACCCGAACCCGTCCCGACTTTGACGGGGAATACCCGCTTTGACTGGGTACGGGTACGGGGTAAAACCCGATAAAAAAAATCGGGTACGGGTACGGGGTCGGGTATATACTTACCCGTCCCGTCCCCGTCCCCGTGCCCATGCCCATCCCCGTCCCCGGTTAAATACCCGTACCCGGTTTTATTTTTTTTAAAAAATTAACATTTTAAATATTGTTGTAAAATGTAAAGGCCACGAGGCTGCAAACACTTAGGTTAGGGTTTCAATTTTCTGATTCACAGTCCAGTGTCCGACAAGCAGTTTTGACAGCGGAGACGCTGCCGCCGTTGCCGCCACAAGCGAGGTACTCTTCCTCAACCACGCCAAACGCTAGTCCACGGTAAATCCCCAACCCTCTCTCGTTCATGGTAAATCTCCAACCTATGATTCTCCGAGCGCGTTTTGGGATAATATGGTTTCTTCGCTGCAGGGTGGAAGTACGGTGGAGTGGTTTGGGTTCGTTGCAAGGTGGAACGACGGTTTCTTCGCGACTGGTTTCACAAAGAATAAGCCAGGTTGGATGTTGTTCCTTGATTTTTTACAATTTAGGTAGTTTTCCTGTGTTTGAAGAGCCAAATGGACAAATGTGTTTTCCTCCTCTGATTAATATCTAGTTTTTTACGGGTACGGGTATGGGTACGGGTATACCCGATACCCGACGGGGACAGGGATGGGACAGAATTTACATACCCGACAAGTATGGGGACGGGGACGGGGACGGGTATGAGTTTCAGTCGCGGGGACGGGGACGGGTATTATGAAACCGTCCCCGCCCCGCCCCGTTGCCATCCCTATATGAGAGGCAATTTCAAGAATAAAATTATAAAAAAAATGTATATACTAAATAAGTAATTTGATTATTAATAATATAGATTACTGATTCTGTAAGACCCACTTTCTCTCTTTCTCCTCTTTTTCT